ACTACAAATAAAGATGCAGTCTTGCAAGGACTGGTTTGGGTGCTGGCTCTCAAACTCAGGACCAGACCAGAGGCCTTATTCTGGGGTCAGTCCATTCTCCCCTTGAAGTACATAGCCTCTCTTAATTATCATTGTATAGTGAAAGTGTCCCAAATGTGCCAAGTGTCTTTGCATGCAAGGAAAAACAGGCAAGGTTGTTTCCAGCACACAATGTAGAGGACAATTTGTAGCTCTTAAAGCAATGTTCTTAGTGATCATGAACCACTATTACAGTTCTACAGCAGAAACCTGGGGTAGTTCTATCAAGAAATGCAAAAATACGTTATAATAATAGCTTTTATCCCAAGGCACTTCATAAACTATGGATCTGATCCTGCAAAATTCTCACTCATGAGACTAATTTCATTCATGTACATACTTTAAATTCCCAGACAAGCTTCAAATGGATGTGCTGTTCTTCCCCTCCCACCTCATGCTTGCAGCATGCAGGTAGCCACCTACAAGCATCCCGCTCCAGAGATGGTTGCATTTCAGTGGAGCTGTATGAGCAGATCCATGCACCCACCTCATAATTCAGTGGCAGAATAGAGCATCTTACAGGATTGCAGCTGTAGTTTGTATTTCAGCTTGTGAAGATCTTTGGAAATCCTTAGGGTGCAAATTACTATAAAAGTGAGGGGTATTATTACTGTTACCAGTCAGTTAGTACTGAAAATATTAGAGGCATTTTTCTCCCCCCCCCCAACACTCACATGACCTACTTCAAGAGAACACTGTTTTTTTTAGCTACTTTGCATGAATGGGTGAGAGGAGGAAAAGCCTTACAGATTTTCACTGAATTCATATTTAGCAGGGAAACAAAGTGTACGCATTTATTTATATGCGCTGCTTGGGCGCAAGGTTGTAGCCCCCCCCATGATTACACAGGCACCAAGCTATTAGCCGAGCGAGGCAGATGGGATGTTGAAGCATTACTGGAGGCAAAGAGAACCGAATTGTTTTTATAGCCAACATTGCCCTCCAAGGGGCTGATCCTGCAAAACCCTTACTTATACAAATCAGCTCTTACTCAAATGAGTGATGGCACTGCAGGACCAAGCCCTTATTTTATACCCAACCTGCTGGGGTTTTTTAAACAGGAAATAATTGACTCTCTCAGATTAACATTTGTACTGCAGTACGAATCAAAAATTGATTAAAAAAAAATAGTCCAAATGAGCAAATTAGATTTGGCTTTTTTTCCCACAGAAGGGAGAGAAGGGATTATGTCACATTTGAGTTTGGGAAAAGGTTTACTTTGAAATCATACTGAGTTGCTGCCTTAGACATTACAACTACAACTTTGCATCCTGGAGGTCAAGACAGTCCTTAAGTAATTCTATAAAAAGGCCAAAACTTTTATAACCAGGAGGGAGTTCAGAGAGAAGATGGCCGAGTCCATTGAAAGCAGGATACTTGAATCCCAGTTTCCCACTTCATCTATTTTATGACAGTTTAATACAGCTTCCTGGCAAAAATCAATCATGCTGTTTCAAAGGAGTGTCTAGCGTGTGTGCCGATGACATTATTAGTGCTGTTTACAGTACATTTTAGAGAACTGCAATACGCAGACGAGAGGAAGATTTGCTCTGGACAGCCAGGCATAGTTTGCATCATTACTCTGTTCAAATTGCAACTGGCATCAGAACGAGGCACATCAAGGTCCAATGAACTGATATACTAGTATTACAGACATCATGCATTAGAGACCGGGTGCTGCTGCTGAGAATTTAACTATTCCATACCCAAAATGCTAAAGGTCCGATCCAAAGCTCAGTGAAGTCTCCTGTGGCAAAGTGGAACTCCCCGACTAGCCACAGCGCTAGTTTCCCCACTTGCCTTTGGGCATGCTACCCACCTGACTCACCTTGTTAATTCATTAGGATATTAATTAAGGCAGGAGGCTGCCCATTCTTGCCCCAATGTCAGGGGGCACTATCTGCAGCTCCATTCCTCCCCTATACTGCAGCCCAAGCCTTGCAGATGGCATCCAAATGACAGTGCTCCCAGCCTACAGCCGGACCAAACTTACACTACATTGTCAGGCCTCAGACACATTCATACCACCCTCTTTTCACTAGGGCCTCTCGCACAGTCTCTTTCACACACCAGCAACTTATACTGCCTTGCTCCCTCTTGGAGCGGGCCCCTTTGGCCATCGGCTTTAATTAGCTCATACCTTGGGTGGCAGACATACTGTCTTTTGGGCCTCTCCCATGACCTTCACTGGTGTAGTGGCCAGCCAATTACCCAACCGGGTCTAAGCTTGCCCTGGCCCCTTCCAGGGGCAACTCTATACATTCCAACATACTGGGCTCCCAGCCCTCTGGTTCTCCCCCCTCATTGGGGCTCCTCACCTCTGCCCCCTCACTGGGGCTCCACACCAGGGCCCTGGGGCTTCCTACCCCAGTGGGCTCAGGTAGCCATAGCCATGCCTGGCCCCAACTACCTCTCCTTAGGGTCTTGCACCCCACAGGGCTCAGGTGGCCACAACTACCTCCAGTGTTACATAACCCACCCAAAGGTGAGGGCTAGGGTTAAGGCACCCCTACCCACCTTTCACCAGGGTAGTAACTAGCCTGGCATTTCCTGTGGGCTCCCACACCACTGAGCGCCCCACCAGACCACCCACTCCCAGCAGGGTGCAGTTTTAGGTCAGGACCAGGACCCTCCAAGCCATCCCCTACCACTCCTGCCCTTGCCTCCTGCAATGCTGCATGGAGCCTTGCAGCCAAGCAGTGTTACACCCTGCCCTGCTAGTAGGAACTGCTCTCTTTATATAGGCAGCCAAAGGCCTAAAATGGGCAAAGAAATCAAGCACCTGCTGGCTGCTTGGCTCTGCTCTTAAAGTGGCAGGCACCAACAGTGCCCTGCCACATCTCCCCTTTGACTTCAGTGGGCTTGGGACCAGACCCAGATACAGACATGGGCAAACCAGGTGGTCGCCCAGGGCCTGGACAGAAAGGGGGCCCAAAAATGGAAAAAAAAGTTACAATTAAAAAAAAAGTTTTAAAATTGAACATATACGGGACTGGCAGTGTTATCATTTGAGAATGAACTATTTAAAAGACATCCATACCACAGATGTGATAAAGACGTTTGCAACAACAACAAAAAATCATTATCTCTGGCAAGTGGGGGCCCGATACTAAAAGTTTACCCAGGGCCACCAGGAGTCTAGGTACGGCACTGCTTAGGACCAGTCCCTAAATCCTCTTCCTTCAGCTTTGCATGCAATTTTCTTTCCTATTACAGCAGGTAGCATGCAATTACTTAGTGTGGGACTCTTACGTTTATGCCACCCCACAGCACCTCATAGACATTGCCTGCCTGTCTGTCCCACTAAGCTTCCCTCCTGGCCCTTCCCATACCCCATTCTTGATTCAAAACCTCCCCTCTATCTCAGTGTGTCGCTGGCTCTTCAGGTTTTTATTCCTGCCATTACTGAAGCTAAAGGAAATTATACCTTTCACAGGAACACAACTGAACCCACTATTTTTCAGGACTCAAATTAACACCTCTGTTTTCCTTTGCTCCTGCAGTTTTTCTAAAGTTCACATTTACTTTTCATCCTTCTGCTAATGCCAGCGGCGATCAAGGTAGTGATCAAGAAACACCCCCGGGTTTTCAAGAAGTCACCCCCAGCAGGCACCGGGTGATTAAAACAGTTCAACTCCCTTTAAGCACCTGCAGGAAGTGACTAGATTTTCAAAAATGCTCAGAGACCAGGACTCCCACTGAGAACAGCAGAAAATCTCACCGTTCAAACTGGGAAGCATGTCATTTTATTGCTGCTCATGAGCACATTCCACATTAGAGGGCAGCAGAGTATAGATAATGAAGATTGAAACCAGACTTGATGCCTGATAAAACAGATTGATACCAGACTTGATAAGACAGTTTGCAGGGCTAGGAGGTCTCCAGCTTTAAGGCAGAGTGGAAGGTGCAAAGATCAGGAAAGTGAAGGTTTGCACCACAGATAGAACGGTCATGAATCGGTGTTGTCCCCCCCCCCACCAACTATCCACCATTGAATAGTGATGCTTAGGATTCAAAAGCTAATGGATCAGAGGTCAGTGGGGAGAAAGGGACCTGATCTATGGCAGGAAGAAGCTGAGAAAGTAATTCAGAAGTCAGGATGCATCTTTGGAGCCAAGAAGATGTTGGAAAGAAGGAGCTAGGCTAGTGGGAAGGAACTGCAGACAGGAATCATCTCTGCCACATGGCCGAGGCCACGTTTAGAAGTGGGTTAATATCCATTGAAATACACACAAATACCAGCAAAGTGTAAGAATAAGACCAGCTTCTTCCCCACCACAGATGTGGCAGATATCATATTCCCACTGTGGAGCAGCACTACTATTGTCTGCAATAAGATGTCCGTCCACCCTCTCCAGGACTAGCAAATGTTTGGAGCAGAGTCAGGCCAGAAGAAGGTTTACCTAGGACTCAGGAGAACAGGGCTGTATATCTGTTGTTACCACTGACCTGCTGTGTGACCTCAGACAAGCCGTGTCCCTGCTGTCTGCCGCATTTTTGCCATCTGCAAAATGGAGAATATTGTGCAAACAATCATAGCAGGGCAGAATCTATAGGCAAAGAAAGGAGGGCTGTTAATGGGAATAAATAATCAAATCAGTGGCACTTATCTGAGCTGGCCCCCTATATGCAGATAGCATGTAAAGATACTGATACACCTGCCTATGTGTGTCCTGTCCTCCCTTAAAGATTAGGTGGATGAAGTCTGCAAGTTTCTTGGATAAGAGACTCCTGATACAGGAAGAAGTCAAAGCCACTGAGAAGAAAGCCCTTCCCAAGCAAATCACATCCCCGCATGTGGCAGGTTTGAAAGATGCGGCACTACCGTTCGAACCGCCAGCACAAGCAAGTGAGAACATTAGCCTGGAGGGGAAGTGGGGAGGGAAGGAAAGGCTTTTGACATGCTGCTCACCATGAGAACACAGAGAGTGAGAAACCACGGAGGGGATTAACATCAACCAACTTCCACCCAGGGGAATAATAGGGAATGGTAGAAAAAGCTCAGGCAGAGCCAGAAGGGGAGTCAGGCAAGAGGAGAGAAGCAGTCATCAGTGCCCAGCTGTCCAAGGACGACATTCCTCCAAATACCTGGACTGCTGGAAGGATGGGAAGTCCCAAAAGCATCATCAGCCTGAAACCCGAGTGAGAGGAGGTGAGTAGTCTTCCTTTACTACCCAGAAGGAGTATCTTTGCCACAAGGATCTTTTTCCTTTTTCCCCAGGCTGAGGTCTATCACACCTCAGTGCTGAAACACACAGAAGTGCTCGCAGCATCTTGCTGAGGTTTGAGAGAGGGGCAAGGGTTTTTTTGTATAATTTCAGATATACTGCAATGCAATATAGCACTCAGGGGGTGGGAATGATATTTAATGAGGGCTTCTTTAACAAGAATTATAAAGGTAACATTTTACATTGATTTCCTCATGCAAAAATCAATACGGAAGCGTTAGAGATGTTACCAAATATCATTTATCCAACTAGGCACACATGTATGGTGCATTTTTGTGCCCTCCCAGTTACAAAGTGCTGTTGATTATTGTGTAATAACAGAAATATTCTGTGTACCGCTTTAGTACCATGTTGCTATTTGCAGTGTTGCTCGTAACTCTACACCGGCATTTTACACATTGTGATTTTCAACATTAACAAGTTGATAGAAGAACTAAAGTGTGAAGAAAAATTAAAATGCAGAAATATTGCATGTCTATCACATAGGCTAGATGCCTATCGCATAGTCTAAGATCAAGGGCTTTCAAAACACCTGTCAGTATTTAAAGCAACCATTTGGATAAGCGAGGAGGAAAAGCTAATATGAAAAACTTTTCTTACACTGCAAGCATAAATCCCATGCAAACTGAAATATAGACACACACAAAGCTATTTAATTATTTCAAGTGGACAGAGAGAAAAGGATTAACGCATCTAGGAGGATTATGTTTCACACAAGACCGTTTAGTTGTTTATATTGGCTAAGAAGCATTAAAAAGCATTTTACTTGAATAAACCAATTCAAGTTCTCAGAAGTGTTTATGATACAACACTTGAATGTATCACTGCATCTTCAAAGCGCTGGATGTATGACTAATCACAGCAGCATCCATGTCGTTTTTTTGTTTGCTAGTTTATCTTGTATATTAACATATCAATAAGATGGATGTTATGGTGTCTCAGTAAATGAGCAGAGAAACATTGGTGAGATCTGAAAGCTATGCCACTACATGCAGTGCAGCATATCTGATAGCTGGGATGAATCACCGCCAGGCACTGGAACAGAAGACATCTTCTTCTAAAGCAGAATAAGTCTCCACTGAAATCAGTGAAGTTCTGTGCTGGTCTCAGTGAGATCAGTCACGCCTAAAGCCTGACAAGGTCTCTGCTACATGCCAGCAGCGCTTACCATCGACAAGACTGCATCATAGTAGCTGGGGTCAGGAGGGACCTGAACAGATCGTCTAGCCTGACCCCCTGCCACAGGCAGGGATGAAAGGTGGGGTCACAAAGACCCCAGC